TCGTCGCTAATTTGCTCTGAAAAAACAAAAAAATATATTCTATTTTTTTATAAAAAAAATTCTTGGCAAAATTTGTGGCTAATTTGCCACGAAGTGTATTCGTCGCAAAATTCATCGCTAATTTGCCTCGAAAAATCAAAAAAATATATTCTATTTTTTTTATAAAAAAAATTCGAGGCAAAATTCGAGGCTAATTTGCCACGAAGTGTATTCGTCGCAAAATTTGTCGCTAATATGCCCCCAAAAACAAAAAAAATATATTCTATTTTTTTATAAAAACAATTCGTGGCTAATTTGCCACGAAGTGTATTCGTCGCAAAAATCGTCACTAAATTGACACGAAAAAACAAAAAAAATATATTCTATTTTTTTATTAAAAAAATTCGTGGCAAAATTCGTGGTTAATTTGCCACGAAGTGTATTCGTCGCTAATTTGCCCCGAAAAAAAAAATTCTATTTTTTTATTAAAAAAATTCGTGGCAAAATTCATGGCTCATTTGCCACGACGTGTATTTGTTGCAAAATTCGTCGCTAATTTGGCCCCAAAAACAAAAAAATATATTCTTTTTTTATAAAAAAAATTCGTGGCTAATTTGCCACGAAGTGTATTAGTTGCAAAATTTGTCGCTAATTTGCTCCGAAAAAATAAAAAAAAATTCTATTTTTTTATAAAAAAAATTCGTCGCTAATTTGCCACGAAGTGTATTCGTCGCAAAATTCGTCACTAATTTGCCACAAAAAAATATATTCTATTTTTTTATAACAAAGAAATTCGTGAAAAAATTCGTGGCTAATTTGCCACAAAGTGTATTCGTCGCAAAATTCGTCGCTAATTTGCCTCGAAAAAATAAAAAAAATATATTCTATTTTTTTATTAAAAAAATTCGTGGCTAATTTGCCACGAAGTGTATTCGTCGCAAAATTCGTCGCTAATTTGCCCTGAAAAAACAAAAAATATATTCTAATTTTTTATAAAACAAAATTAGTGGCAAAATTCGTGGCTAATTTGCCACGAAGTGTATTCGTCGCAAAATTCGTCGGTAATATGCTTCGAAAAAAAAAAATATATTCTATTTTTTTCTAAAAAAAATTCGTGGCAAACTTTGTAGTTAATTTGCTACGAAGTGTATTCGTCGCAAAATTCGTCGCTAATTTGCCCCCAAAAAACAAAAAAATATATTCTATTTTGTTATAAAAAAAATTCGTGGCAAACTTCGTGGCTAATTTGCCACGAAGTATGTTCGTTGCAAAATTCGTCGCTAATTTGGCCCCAAAAACAAAAAAATATATTCTTTTTTTATAAAAAAAATTCGTGGCTAATTTGCCACGAAGTGTATTCGTTGCAAAATTTGTCGCTAATTTGCTCCGAAAAAATAAAAAAAAATTCTATTTTTTTATCAAAAAAATTCGTCGCTAATTTGCCACGAAGTGTATTCGTCGCAAAATTCGTCACTAATTTGCCACAAAAAAATATATTCTATTTTTTTATAACAAAGAAATTCGTGAAAAAATTCGTGGCTAATTTGCCACAAAGTGTATTCGTCGCAAAATTCGTCGCTAATTTGCCTCGAAAAAATAAAAAAAATATATTCTATTTTTTTATTAAAAAAAATTCGTGGCTAATTTGCCACGAAGTGTATTCGTCGCAAAATTCGTCGCTAATTTGCCCCCAAAAAACAAAAAAATATATTCTATTTTGTTATAAAAAAAATTCGTGGCAAACTTCGTGGCTAATTTGCCACGAAGTATGTTCGTTGCAAAATTCGTCGCTAATTTGCCCCAAAAAAACAAAAAAAAAAGATTCTATTTTTTTTATAAAAAAAAATTCGTGGCTAATTTACCACGAAGTGTATTCATCGCAAAATTCGTTGCTAACTTGCCCCGAAAAAACAAAAAAAATTCGTGGCTAATTTGCCACGAAGTGTATTCATCGCAAAATTCATCCCTAATTTGCCCCGAAAAAATAAAAAATATATTCTAATTTTTTTTATGAAAAACATTCGTGGCAAAATTCGTCGCAAATTTGCCGCGAAGAGTATTGGTCGCTAATTTGCCTCGAAAAAACAAAAAAAATATCCTATTTTTTAGAAAAAAATTCGTGGCTAATTTGCCACGAAATGTATTCGTCGCAAAATTCGTCACTAATTTGTCCTGAAAAAACAAAAAAAATATATTCTATTTTTTTATAAAAAAATTCGTGGTAAAATTCGTGGCTAATTTGCCACGAAGTGTATTCGTCGCTAATTTGCCCCGAAAAAACAAAAAATATATTCTATTTTTTTATAAGAAAATTCGTGGCTAATTTGCCACGAAGTGTATTTGTCGCAAAATTCATCGCTAAGTTGCCCCGTAAAAACAAAAATATATTCTTTTTTTTATAAAAAAATTCGTGGCAAAATTCGTGGCTAATTTGCCACGAAATGTATTCGTCGCAAAATTCGTCACTAATTTGCCCCGAAAAAACAAAAAATATATTCTATTTTTTTATAAAACAAATTCGTCGCAAATTTGCCACAAAGTATATTCGTCGCAAAATTCGTCGCTAATTTGCCCCGAAAAACAAAAAAATATTTTCTAATTTGCCTCGAAAAAAAAATATATTCTATTTTTTTATAAAAACAATTCGTGGCTAATTTGCCACGAAGTGTATTCGTCGCTAATTTGCCCCGAAAAAAAAAAAAAATATATTCTATTTTTTTATAAAAAAAAATTCGTGGCAAAATTCGTGGCTAATTTGCCACGAAGTGTATTTGTCGCAAAATTCGTCGCTAATTTGCCCCGAAAAAACAAAAAAATATATTCTATTTTTTATGAGATCCATGTGGAGCAATGATGATGTGGATCCAATTGAAATTCCCGAATCAAATTTAGAAGGTGTTGAACAATCTGATTTTGAGATAAAGGATGAAGATGAAGATGAAGATTATGATTTTTGAGACTTTTTACTAATTATGTGTAATTATTATTATTATTGCGACATATGTTATTGTTGTTGTCATAATTATTATTATTGTTGTTGTTGTTATTATTATTATTATTATTGTTATTATCATTTGATGCCGAAACGCGATAGAAAATTAGCTAAATAGGAATATTCGATAGAGGAACAATTCGTCCTCTCAAGTGTGATTATCAAATCAAAAATCTAAAGTCTGCTTGAAACAAAATCGTAAACACCCTTTTATATGGTGTGGTGATAAACCTAATTACAACAGGAAACGCGAAAAATTACGAAAACGCCATTAAAATAACGAAAATTGCCTAAACCCAAAAGTCAAAAACCCATCTAAACGACTCCGAAACGCAAAAATACGACGTTGGTCATGATGGGGTGTATCGTAAACCGAATTAGAACGATCACGCAGAGAATAGAAGAAAAATAAATGATACACGAGTTTACCCAGGTTCATCCGAGAATAGGGCTACGTCCTGCAAAGAGATTCCACTATGATTTAGGTTTACAATCACAGCTATTCGTTACAATGATCTCTCATACGAGTACAATATATAAGATTTAAAATGGGTCTAGAGCCAAAGCCTATCAGAATCCCTTTAATCCCACAACAAACGGGTTAGCTTAAAACATAAGCCAAAAAACCGATGTTGTTTTGAGGGCACTGCCCCCGAGCCCCCGCCCGCTGTCCGGACAGCGGGACCCCCGTGTCGGGGGCACTGCCCCCGAACCCCTATCCCGTGCGCAGGGTTCACATGTCGTCGGATCATACTTTAGTTTTCCTAAGCTCACGTGGCCATGCCCGGTATGAGACATAAGAGTCCCCGAAGTATTCAACAACTCCAACAAGTCACAACATAACAGTGAGTATTGATCAGCGGCCCATTTCCACACAGTCGACCAAATTTCAGCCCATTCCGAATTCGCCAATCTAAGTGCATCGTCATTATTATTGGTATTATTATTGTCATTGTTAATTATTATTGTTATTATTATTAATGCAATAGGTCGTCGGAAATTTCGTCGCTAAATGACGACAAGTCAAATACTATTCATGTGATGACATTTGCGATATTTTATTTTTCACTGGATTTGGATCGTCGCTAATTTCGTCGCTAATTGATAAAATAAGCAACGAAATCAGAAAGTCGTAGCTAATTTCGTCGCTAATCGACAAAATTAGCAATGAAAATAAAAGTTCATTGCAAAATTTTTTATTTGCTGAATTTTTAATATAATAGATCATCGCTAATTACCATCGTCGCTAATTTCGTCACAAAATTACACTAAAAAAAGAAAGAATTGAGCCACGAAAAATTAGCGACGAACAAAAATTTTCGTCGCTTTCGTTTGGCGGAAAATATTCTCCTTTTGGAAAATATTTTCCCGGAAGTCATTTTCCTGGAAAATGTTTTCCCGGAACATAATTTTCCGATGTTCGGCGATCAATATGAAAAAGTTTCGGAAAATATTTTTCGCCGCGGTTACGCCGACCGCCGCTTGCCGCCGCCCGTCGCCGCCGCCGCCGCTGCCGCTGATCGCCGGCCCGCCGCTGCGCCCGTCAGCCGACGGCTTGCCAGCGCCGCCCGGGCCTTGGTTGGCGGCGACCAGCGACAGGCGGCGGCGCGGGCGACCCCACATGGGACGGCCGGCCCGGCGACCGGCGGCGGCGATCTAGCGCGACGGCCCGCTACGACCAAGCAACCTTAGTGAAGAAGAAGAAAAAGCTCCGGAAAATGATTTCCGCTTTTGAAGAAGGAAGTCATTTTCCATAGACTTGACTATTTTGTGAGGGGGAAGGAAAAAATTTTCCCACGGAAAACGTTTTCCGCCCCCGAACACCGAAAATATTTTCCAGGAGAATATTTTCCGCCAAACGAACGGAGCCTAAATTAGCTCCAATTTGCGTTACCCGCAATCACCCCCATTTTCTCTCTCTCTCTCTCCTCTGTATTCTTGACTCTCTTCTCTCTCTCTCTATGGAACGTCTTTTTGAGTGGTGTGTGGTGCGAGCTCGCAATCTCTCTCTCTCTCTCTCTGTGCTGGTGGATTCGCTTCACAGGGCAGTGCCGACGCTCGAGGTATCGATTTCCTCTTCTGGGTGCCGTCCGTTTTCCCCTTCCCCGGCGAGCCCCGTCGCCCGATTTTCCGTCGGGCCGAGCCCCCTCTGTTTTCCTCGTTTCGCGGTCGAGATTCGTCGCTTCCGCGCTCGGCTTTGCGCGTGGCCTCCGGCCCCTCGTCGCCGGTGCTCGGTAGATCGGCCTCCGTCTCGTTTCCCTCGAGACTTTCTTGCCTTTTTTTTTTATCCCGATTTTCCCCGATGTGTCCCGTCGTCGAGGAGGGGATTCGAGCGTGGTTTTCTGCCGGCGAAGCTGCGTGTTTGCTCGCGCGTTAGTGGGTCGGCCCTGAAACAGCGGAATTTTTTGACTTGTTGCAGGCTTTTATCTGCGGGGGAGCTATCGTGGCGATCTGTGCGAGGAGCAGTGGAAGAAGGGAACAGCATGCGGTGGTGGAGTCTCTCGATTGACGTATTCCGAAAAGCCATCTCTCTGAACCTGTTCCGCAGGATTATTCTGTAACTTTCGCTTTGTCCCGTCTGTGGAATTTACTAGCGTCTTTCCTTCGCTGCCCAGTAATTGGATGAGTCTCTGTTTCTTGTTGTTAGTTCCTTAGTTTCTTGATCTCCTGTCAGTGCCTCTCTGTTTGGACGCGGAAGTGCTCTGTGGGTGTCCGAGCTTTTCTGATCATCTGTCGGCGTCCTCGTTGTTCCTCGAGATCTTTGATTTTGTTTTCTGTTTCTTGGGTGCTGATTCTGCTGCTCTTCTGGGAGATCAAAAGGGTCGAAACTTCTTGAGTGAGGGGGTTGGGAAGTGTAGTTATGGTGTGCCAAGCAGCAAGCCAAACGAGATTCCGGGCATTGAAACATGAAAATGGGATTGCTGAGAATGCTACTATTATTGTTAGAGTGCTAGCGTGCTTTCAACCTCTTCAAGATTGCCAGGCTAGTAAGAGATCATGGTGTGCTCTGTTTTCCCCACTAGCAAGCTATGTTCGAAATTTTTCTGTTGGTTATTTTTCGCATGCACTCAACCGTGCCCCCTCGTTTGAACTATTCTTCTTTCTTTGCTTAAGATTAGGTTTTGTCTATGCGGCTTACTGATATGATTTTTTTTTCTCTTGGTTTCATTTTTGCAGGCTGAATACTTTCGTCATTTGCTTAAGCCTGTAACGTAGATTGATTTCGCTCCTTCGTGTTCCTCTTAAGCTGGTGTTCTTTGTTTTTTCCTCTTGTTTCTCAATCAAATAGCAAGCAATCAGCCACTTCTATTATTACAAGGTCCATCAGGTACCTTTTCAATTGTTTTTGCTGGAAACTCACCTATCTTAAATCTAGAATATGTAACATTGTGGATTTAGTAGGGTCAGTGTTCTTGCTTAATCTTTTCCAGGTGATTGTTTTGGTTGGATGGGAGAAGGCGGTGGATTCCCGCAGCAACACTTTCCTTGGCAATTGCCTAATTCGGATTTGCCAAATTTCCAATTCAACTTGGGGTATCCAGGTCTTATCTTGGCCCAGAAAAGTAGTGGCCAGAAAATGGTTCCCGTCCACCGGTGCGTCCTCGCCGCGCGGAGCCTGTTCTTTGGGGCCGCATTCGCGGGGAGCGAGAGCGGGGCGAGGCTCGAATTGGCGGAGGTGTTCGGCGTGAGTTCTTTCTTGAGTGTTCTTCCTTTTTTTTTCTGGGGAAAAGGAAGAAATTGGAGAGGAGCACGCCGGTGAGGAAGCCTCACACTTCGACTTCAGATCTGCTCAGGTGGTCGGAGACTCCACCCCCCCACGATTCGACCGGTTCGGCTTCCTCTCGCTCCAATGCTCGCTCTCACCAGGTGCGGCGTTCGCTCGATTTGTTCTTGATCTTTCGTTTTAGTTTATGTTTGATGCGATGAGTGTGCTTCTGCTTTTATTTTTTATTTTTTTTTGCTTCTTGGGCCTTCCTTTTTTAACGGGTTGTTCTGGGGGGATGATGGTGTTAGCCTTCGGATGGGATCAGCAACGTGGTTTTTGGAGGTCAAGTGACTGCAGAGGAATCTGAGAATTTGAACAAAAGGTTAGATCTGCTCTGCTTGGTTTTTTTTCCCCTCTCCCTGTTTGTTGATGACTTTTTGTGTTTTTTCCCCTTAAATGCAATGTTTCATTTGGCGGAATGGGTCACCGCCGTTTTACTTATTTGTCTGCATTCTCCATGTTCTCCAATGCTTTGGATTTTCTTTCTTCAGAAATTATGGTTGGATTGTGTAATATAGGTTCAATGTGGATGTGTAGTGATCGATCTGCGGGGAATGAGGGCAGAAACTTTGAATCCAACATGATAATCTTTATCACCTTCATTTAAATTACAAAAGAAGCGAAATTTTTTTGGGGGTGGCTGTTGATGGAGTAATCTTGGTCAATTGGGTGGATCTTAGAACTTCAGATGCCTTGGTAGGTCGAGCTTGATCATCTTCCTTGGCCTTAGAAGTCTGGTTGGTCTCTTGAGCTTGATTCTGTTGCAAGCCCTCATGTCTAATTGAGATAGTGCAGTCATTCCCCTTCCATTCAATGGATCTTCAATTAATAGTAATGAGATGGAAAGCGTAAGTTCCTTGGATGTCCAGATTCGAGAAGTAAACATTTCTTTGGCGACTATCATATGGGGCTCCTTCAATGTCTGCTGAACTTCTGCGGTCATGAAAATGCCGATTTGATCATCCCATTGACAATCTACCCAGCTCTGATCTAGATACAATTGTAATAGGTGCTTAGTTGATGTGAACTTATTTGTGATGTCTTTTCAATTTGCGTATGTGAAATATGTTATTGACATGTAAAAGCTCTAGTCCATGTAAGACTAGGTTGTTCTTAGTCCATGCATGGAAAGGAGATGGCATTTTGCTCAGGATTGGTAAGTCACACATAGTGCATCGTCAACATCCTTCTGAAGTGCTGCAATAGAAAGGATTGTTTGTTGCTAGATTAGGAAAAGGTTGAATCCATGGATAACATGTACATACAGAAAAGTCATTACATATACAATTACAAATGCATGCACCCACAAACATGTCCATCTAAAAAGCCAGTTACTTGGCTATCTATCTATCTTTTTTCGTACACATACAGAATGGGGATGAATATTTGGCACAAATGCACATGCAACCACACAAAGGCGCACAAGCATGCATGTTTGGTCGTGGGCACGCTCTCATACACACGTGACCTTTTTATATCCTCATCAAGAGAGTTCCATAAGCTTTCATAATGCCTTTGCACTTTGACTCCACTTATCGTGGCCTTTTCCTCGTCTTCTCCTTCATAGAATAGTGCTTTTGTAATCTTCCAGGAAGCCTTGTTCTGGCTACAAGTTGAAAGAAATCACCGGTAGTGGGATTTTTGCTGCCAATGGGGAAGATGATTTATTAGAGCCTGGAAGTGCTAACCCTGCTTCAAATAACAAAACAGGATTAAAGATGTACCAGGTATGTTTTACTGTGCTGATTGTATTTGACCTTTTAAATTGGTGTTGAGTCCATGATGATGCATGTAAGCTCTTTTGATGGTAAACAGGTTTTCAGTGAGCTTCTGTCTTGATTGCTGCTCTGCAATTGCGCTTCTAGAATTTGAAGTTTGCTAGTAGTCTTGCAAAAGTAATGAAGGCTCTGCAAGAACTTTAAAGTTTGTTTATGTGTGGATGCAGAGCTGATAAATGTTGGGCAGAGGCAAGATGCTCTGCAAGAACTTCACGATCTTATTACCTCGAAGAGATCCCGAGCATGGCAAAATACCCTTGAGAGGATTATGTTCAAGTACATTGAGCTATATGTTCCTTTTTTTTTTTTTGGTCGAAGAGCTATATGTTCAAGTACATGGAAAATGTAGATGAATGCATTTCATTTTCATATTATTATAATATTTTGATGTTATTAAGTGCTTAATCAATGTTAAATACAAATTCTAAAAATTAAGTTTGCTTTTAATTACATTTAAAATTGAAAAATAAAAGAAACGATTTTATCATACGATCACAAATTAAAAAAGTTCGTTGTAAAAATAAAATTTCGTCGCTAATTTTGTCCTTAAACAATATTGTTCGCAGAGTTCGTCGCTAAAGAATTAATAAAAATTCGTCGTCGCTAATTAGCAACGAATTTTGTCACGAATATAGTTTGTGGTAAATTAGCGACGAATTTTGCCACAAATAATTAGCGACGAATTTTGCCATGATTATATTTCGTCGCTAAAAATTTAGCCACGAAAGTTGAAATTTTTCGTTGCTAAATTTTGCAACGCCGAATTGGCGACGAAATTTTTTTCGTCGCAAATTAATTTAGCGACAAATTTTGCCAAATTTTTTGTCGCAAAATTCGTTGCTAAAACCTTATTTTTTTGTAGTGTAAATTAACGATGAATTTTACCACGAGTACAATTCGTGGTAAATTAGCGACGAATTTTGCCACGAATAGATTTCGTCGCAAATTAGCAGCGAAAATTGAAATTTTTCGTCGCTAAATTTTGCGACGCCGAATTGGGGACGAAATTTTTTCGTCGCAAATTTCGTTGTAAATTCATTTAGCGACGAATTTTGCCAAATTTTTCATGGCAAAATTCGTGGCTAAAATCTTATTTTTTTGTAGTGATCTTTAAGGAGAAGATGTGATCGTAGGGGAAAAGTGAAAACTTTAAATGAAAATGAACAGATTTGCTCGCGAGCTAGTAGAGTGGTTACGTGAAACCAAAAGAAGATAAAATGTGCGGGAGTCAAAGTTTGATTTGGTTGAGATTTGACATGAAAGGTAGTAGAGATAACAATATCACAACCATCGTAAATTTGAAAGAAGAGAAGAAAAGAGCTTGAAAAGGCCATTATCTATACTCATCACATTTGAATTCCCATCTTCAAGACATGAAGACTTGATATCTCTTTTGATGGACAACATAATCTGATGGTGGAGCGTAGATGGAGAATTGTTGGAAGATTTAGAGTTTGAAAAGAGAAAACATTCGTTATTATCAATAAAATAATGAATAGTGCATGGATTTGGCACACCTCGTTGAGATGATTTCTTGTAACATTAAATGTAAACAACTACATATTTAGTCCATTTATGTCCGCATCTTATGTGATCACGAGGTTATTGGGATAGTTCATAGAGCAAGCGACAAAATAAACACATTTATCATTAAAAGAATATCTAAGTAATCTTGAGTTTTTATAATTAATATTTTGATAAAATTTTTGATTTGGCTGAGAAATTCGAAAATGATTTTGTTTACTGGGAGAGAGAGAGATAGAGAGTTTGGGGTTAGCAATGGCTAATGAGAGAGGTCTAAATGGACTACATTGACGGTCATTTGGTCAATTGCGTTATAGCTATACGCAAAAGCAGTACACTAGCAAATTCGAACTTGGGCAGCTAAAATAGGGAAATTTGATGAAATATTCGATCTTTGCACCCAATTTCTTGCTGACAAAGTGAAATGCGATGACATGTTCGATTTTTTTAATCCGATTTTCTTTTATCATACTATTCTATTTGTAGTCCACAGACCCTTTTAGGGTGCGTTTGGTACAGCATTTGGAATGCTACTTTGGGAATGCAAATGCCTTTGGGTGGAAGCCCTTTAGGAAAAATGCAAATGGCGTTTGGTAAAAACTCATTTGCAAAGCTATTTTGACCCAAGTGGTGTTTGGTTAATTTTTTTTACAAATGGGCTTTGAGGGGGTTTTTTTAAAAAAAAGGCAAAAATACCCTTCGCCGGCTCCGGCGAAGGGCTACGGCTCCGGCGAAGGGCTACGGCCGCCGACGAGCCAGATCTGGCGCCGGCGGCCGTCGCCCGTCGCCGAGCGACCCCCGGCGAGGGACGCCGACCTCGGGCGACGAGGCCCGAGGTCGCGCGACCCCAGCCGACGGCCGCCCGGGTCGCGCGACTCAGCCGACGGCCGCCCGGGTCGCGCGACCCCAGCCGACCCCAGCTCGACGGCCGCCCGGTCGCGCATGACCCCAGCCGACGGCCGCCGGGCTCACGCGACCCCAGGCCGACGGCCGCCTCGGGTCGCTGACCCCAGCCGACGCCGCTGGGTCGCGACCCAGCCGACGGCCGCCCTGGGTCGCGACCCAGCCGACGGCCGCCTGAGGTCGCGGGACCCAGGCGGCCGCACACTGGCGGTCGCCCGACCCCGAGCGGCCGCGCCCGGGCGATCGCCACCCGGGCGACCGTCGCCCTGGGTCGGGCGACCTCGCGGACCTTCGCCGTCGCCGGCCCTTTGCCCTCGCCGAGTCCCTTTGGTGAAGAAGATGAACAAGAACGAGAGGGCAAAGCCTAATATTGAAATTTGAGTGAGGGTAGTTTGGGAAGTATAAAAATGATTTTGACATTTGGTTCAGCAGAAAGTCCAAAGCTAGTCCCGATCAAGATTGGCTTTCAAAGATTGAAAATGCTAATTTTGAGCATTTTCAATGCTCAATCGTTAACCGCTTTGGTTCAAAGATTTTGGGAAGGGGCTTTCAGGGCTGAAAGCCCCTTTCCAATGCTGTACCAAACGCAGCCTTAGTGTATCGTGGGTTTCTGTAGGATCGGGCTCAAAGGAAGAGTTGAATTGCCGTATCAAGATAGCTACTTTTACTAGAAAAAGAAAACACTCCCCAAAAAAATAGATGATTTTCCATTCAAGTGCTCAGGTATGCAGAGCCATTGACAACACATTCACTATTTGTCCTCATCCTGTTGCTCCCATTTCTATCTATTCTTTATTTTCCTTTTTTCTCTTTATCCCCGTTTTGCTATGAAATTAGAGCTTGTGTTCGAGTCCGAGAATTTCGGAAAAATTTTACACTCTCATAGCAACGCTCCTCATAAATATCAGTTCTTGTAAGTATGGAAATACAAGTAGTATCTTTGACCTGCATTGAAAGTACTGCTGTCAAACACGTAAGGGCGCGTTTGGTAATGTTTCTACTTCTTTATTTTTCTGTTCTTCTGTTCTCTGGAAAAAAAAAAAAGAACATAAATCTGTTGGGTAACACATTTTATTTTTCTATTTCCCGGAATAGAAAAATGGCCAAGAAATAGATTTGGAACAGAAATAAGAAGTAGATTTTTTCTACTTCTTTGTTCTCAAAAACAAAAAAAGAAATAGAAAGGTCCGGTCCTCAAGCCGTGGCCTCAGCTCCTCCTCCATCCTCCTTCATCTGTAGACCGTCTCAAAGCACCGCTCCGGTCCATTCCCGGCGAGAATAATAAAAAAAATTCATAAATTTTTTTTAAAAAATAAAAAATTCCCAATATTCCAAAAATTCATAAAAATCAGAAAAATTCTCAGAAAATCCATAAAAATCAGGAAAACTAAAAAAACCCATAAAAATTTGCAAAATTATGAAATTGAAAAAATTAAAAAAATTCATAAAAAAATTTATTGAAAATAAAAAAAAAGACAGATTTTGGGAAAGTAAAAAATTTTAATAAAATTTTCCCCCAAAAAAATAAAAAATTCACAGAATGACTTATAATAAATTAAAAAAATTTCGAAAATTCAAAAAAATTAGAAAATTTTCAGAAAAACCCTAAAAAAATTAGAAAATTAAAAAATTCCAAAAATTCATAAAAATCAGAAAAATTCTCAGAAAATGCATAAAAATCAGAAAAACTCAGAAAACCCATAAAAATTTGCAAAATTCCGAAATTGAAAAAATTTAAAAAAATTTCATAAAAAAATTTTCTGGAAAATAAAAAGAAAAAAATTTAGGGAAAGTAAAAAATTTTAATAAATTTTGCCCCAAAAAAAATAAAAAAAAAATTCACAAAATGGCTTAGAATACTTGTGGCCATCCACTTTGAGTGAAATTTAAATTTTTTGAGGTGCCCAAGTGGTATTTTTGAAGATTCCTTAGCTTAGGGATTAAAAGGGGTTTTAAACCCCTAAAAAGGATTAGACAAATCAATAAACCATGCTTATTGATTTTTTTCACTTATAACTTGTGCTTATAGTTAAATAAAAGATATAGATTTGAATGCAAAAAATTGGGAATAGAAATTTTTTTGGTTGTACCAAACGCATTTCTGTTCTTTTTTTATTCCAGGGATTGAAATTTTGTACAATTACCAAACACATTCTTTTGCTCAAAAACTCATCCAGGAAATAGAAATAGAAAAAACTATTTCTAAAAAGAAATTGTTCCCAGAAATAGAAACGTTACCAAACGCGCCCTAAATGTCTCATTCACATTCTGATTTGGCTAGCTATTTACTTGAATATCCAAAAGGTGTTGCTTCTTTTTCACCCCCTTCAAAAAATAGTAAGCGTCTTTATATGTGCATATATTTTTATTTAAATCTTGCGACTGACACAGTTCAATATTTTCTTAGCCCAAAGTACCTGAAATTTTCACACTATATAAATGTTGACGCATACATTTACATTTAATTTTTTGGAGATTTATACGGTATTTTGGAATTAGGGATAAGTCTTTTGCTTTCGAAAAACAACAAACAGGCCCTATACTAAGTAAACATTTACTATATAGAAAACAGAAGTGCGCGTCTGAAAAAATGGCGCACCTTTCAAAAGTTGTGTACTGATCAATGAGACTAGAGCTCATAAAGACTACTCACACAACCTCGCTTCTTTTTTAGGCCCAAGATCTTACTTCATGCATTTTGTCCGATCTCAAAGGTTTTGTATGTTCATCTTTAGAATGGGTCTCTGCTTATGTAAAGTCAAAATTTCTCTCTAACTTGATGTGGAACTTAGAAATGTTACACACTCCATACTTAAAACACTTGAACTTCGTTTTAGCCCATATAACTTAGGACCACACCAA